ATATACACCTCAATATATGTTGCATAAGAAATTTCGCTTTAAAATTGAAGTATGATAAGTAAAGTTTGGAATTTTTATATTTAACAAATGCGAATCTTTGACGTGATTAAATACGTTTTCAAACATTGATTTCACTATATTTTATGCTTTATATATTCATATATAAAAATACAATCGTTTAATCGACTTTTTTGTAACTCATATAATTTAAAAAAAATAATAAGATATGTCAATGAATTAATTAGTTTCTAGATATACCAAAACTGCCAAATCATTGCGGAATAAAGAAACATATGTATTTAAAATTTTTATTTGTCAAAATGTAAACTATAACGATAAAATTGTCCTATTTGAAAAGTTTTATATGTTTTCAAAATGTTTTATGTTAAATGCCGTTCTATCTTGATTTTTATAAAATGAATAGAAAAAAACAATCGTTGATGAATTTTAATTTAAAGCTAGATTCAAATCTATTTTTTCATACAAATCTGTGAAAAAATTTTGATACATTCTTTAAGCTAATTAATTGATCTATAAATTTTCATGAATTTTATTTTAAATTCATTTTTCGAATATTAAAAATTACAAATTGAAAAAATTAGATAATTAAATTTTTATCTAGTTAAATTTGATAATTAACATGTCAATAATATATCAATTTATATGCAAAGTATACAGAAAATTCCGCTGACATAGACGAGACGAAGAAACAAAAATGGCCAGGAAACGTCACGTGCCACAAAATCACGATAGGTAGGTGGCCTTAATGAATTGAATTAAAGTCCGCCAACGAGCGTTACGTTTAAAAATAGGCGCGAACGTGACCCTTTTTCATCGGCCCGATATTTTAATCAAACGTCCCGAGAAGAATGATGCGATAGTACGAACGGTCTTTTAATCTCAGTTTTAAATATCTTTTTGTACAATGTACGCTGTATGTTGAAAAAAAATGATTCGGCAATGTTGCATCTTTCTTTCATGATATTCAATATAATATATAAATGACATAAAAACAAGAGATTTTTAGAGAAAGGCAATTTATTTTAATAAAGAATAAAATATTTATCAAAATACTTTGATAAATGTTAAATAATAAATAATTATTCATTATTTAATAAATAACTTTCAAATAATCTTTTTGCAAATAAATATTTGATTCTTTCAAAATATCCAATAAACAATTTTATAAAAAAATTTTATATATAAAATTCCAGGCATTTTTTAGCATTCTTCGTTTCAAGTTAAAATTATATTCTCAACGAAGAAGAAAGCAAAAAGAAATAAAAGATTGAAATATTTCGAAAGATACATAGTTTCAGTCACGTTTATTCTTACAAGAACGAAAGGACAATAAGCTTTCCATGAGTTAAGTCATGTTTCAAGATTATCTGTTAATGTCAGGTTAGCTATTAATGAAAGTCAACTTTTTTTAGAATAAGTAATGTTTTTAACAAATATCACTAAGCTATGTTTTTATGAGAAAAATCATCCACTTATCAAATATCTTCCATTTTGGAACCATAACCCTCCATAATATTCTTGAAAAGGATTTTTTGATCAGGATGCGATAACCATATAAGCGATATCGAACGTCCGGCATCCAGTCGTCCTACGAATGCTAAAATTAACACACAACCGCTATATTTATTGTGATCACTCCTATTCTTTTCCAATTATATGCAGGAGATATCTATTAACCATGCAATGCAAAGAAAACGTCATAATAATAATAACTTGATGATGTTTTCTAGATAATGCTTCGATTCTTATAAAAAATTTTGAACATAGAAGTAGATGCAAGAATTTAATTGACAATGAGTATCATGTCCATTAGAATTATTTCAAAACGATATAAACTATTAAAACTATATAAACTATTCAAATATTTATAGAATACTGATTACAATTATTATATAATTCAATAACGAACAATTCTTAAATAGAGCCATTTTTTCATATGGATAAATAAATAAATACATATATAGAAATGTTAAATAATGTTAAATATTGAGTATAATATTGAGTATCTTCTAAAATTATATTTTAGATATCAATCTGTTTCAATCACCGTTCCACAATCAATTTGTTCAAAAAAAGCAATTCATTTTTCAAAAGTTGTCAATAAAATATTTATTAAAAAATAAAAGTTGATATTCAGCTTCATTTTAAGGAAAAAATTTTATTAAAAAATAAATTCCAAATCATTCAAATTAAAGATCATGAAAAATATATACGAAAAATAAATTTTATATTCGAACATTTTCTAAATTTTTTATCGTGAAAAAATAAAATATATATACATAAAATAAGAAATCTTTCAATAAATTTTTTATCAAAAATATCAAAAAATATTTATTGATACACAACATAAAATTTTTTTCGTATATGATTTTAAATTGAATGAATAAAATTATATAATAATATATATAAAATTATATAAAATTATATATAATAATATTTGAAATTAATAATACACAATAAAATAATTGAAAACTTTAAAAATCGAGTTAAATTATGTTAAATTTTTTTAGGAAAATCTAATATATTATAATATAACACCGGCATATTAAATTAAAGACAAATGATCGCGCCAAAATCTCTAAAATATATATTATTTTATATTGATAATGATACAGTAATCGGATACATTATTTAAGAAAAAAAAATATTGTAATATAAAATATCTTAGATAACATGTCCTTGCAAACAAATATATCTATAACGTAAAAGGAAAGAAGATTGCATTTGTTTATGCGTCAACCGCAACATGCGAAATGGCCGCAACGTTCGATTGACAGCTGCTCGCATTCAAAGAAACGAATTTTCACTTACCACCCAAACTTTCATCCGAAGTGAATTTTACAGTGGATGCCATCATAATCCACGCACTTAATCACTTAAAAGCTAATAATGCACACACGATTGAATAGACAACTAACACTTTCGTGAAACACGTTATTAAGAAAACGACGCATTCGCAACGAAGTACCGTGGTAAAATGCTCGATGAGACGCGCGACCGTGCTTTGTTTTGATGGAACGTCAACACACGCACGTCAGCCAAGCCAACCAATCACGCGACACGCGCTTCAATGTAAATACACTACGTAAGTCAAAATAGTAATAGTGCCAATAACCATGATAGATTGTTTTTACTACGTGATTCAATATATGTATCTTCTTCATTTATTGTTAAACTCCAAAATATATTTGGAAAATGTAATTGCTTTAAAATAAAATAAATTTAATCGTCTAGACTATAGATTATTGATTTTAATATCTATATATGAAAAATATTTATTTAAATTTAATTATTTAAAATTCATTACGTTACATTTTTTTCTTACTCAAATTATGATAATTGTTTTTTTTATACTTTTTTTATATTTATTTATATACTTGAAATTTATATTATTTTAAATTTATATTATAAGCATAACTTATTGTTTTTCTTATTTTGAAAAATTTATGGAAGAGAATATATATGAAAATAAAAAAAGAAAAATTAAAAATATAGAACATATTTTTAGAAAACTTGTATATGAGTTTTATAGTAACATTTATGTTATTGATATTTTATTCATTGATGAAATAAAATATTTTTATCTTTGAACTTTTCATTAAATTTGTTATAATTAATTAAATTAAATATAAAGACATTAATCAATTAAAAATTTAAAGCTTTATTTATTATTAATATTTAAATTAAAATCAATTTATGAAAAAAAAATATATTTATCAATTTTTGGTGTAAAGTGCATTGCTCTTTTTCTATATGATGGCAGCACTATCCCAGTATTACTTCAAGGGTTAATTTGTGTTGCACGACACGTATTTTACCCATGAACTGCGTAAATCGTGTTTTCTATCACAAATTGTCCGAAACCACATCATTAAAAGGTATATCTGTATTTTACATTTATGGAAATATTATTTTTTCTTATAATAATAATAGACGCACGATATAATTATAAATAAAGATTAATAAATATCGCTTTGTCGATACTAAAAGTAGACAGTTAAAAATGGTTGCCTTGTAACAGATCTGTCAAGTGATATTTTACCGTATCCAATTGCTACGATGCAATAAATACTATAATTCCAAATTTTTAGTTGTCAATGTGTTTGACGATAAATTTGAAGTAAATGCAAATACTAATTAATTTATACGAAAAAAATGTAATTTTATAGTTAATGCTACCATATGTGTAAACGGAGCTATTGTATATTTATTTCGTTTATACAATTCGTTCGTGTAAGAGAGTTCAAGGTTCTTCTATATATATATATAAATATATAAATATATATATATATATATATAAATATCTTATAATTTTGAAATATTATATATATTTTATTGGAATAAAAATCATTTTTTTATTNGAATTTGTTCATAGGTTCATTGTGTTGTTAAATACATATTTGTAATGAAAATGAAGATTCCAAATAATCGTTCTGGGAACGATTATGGAAATGAAACAGGAATTATCTCTTACATGGATAATAATTTTGATTCTGAAATCGATGTACAAGGAACAGAAGAAAGTGATTTTTCTGAGTACCTTTGGATGGAAAATGAGGAAGAATTTGATAAAGAGGTTTTGTAACTAAAACTTTTATATTATTTGTAAAATTTTCTTTTTATATAAAATTTTAATAATATATTAATAATTAAAAATTAATTATATTAATTATATTAATTTATTATATTAATAATTAAAAATTATAGGTGATTCAACAATTAATGGAAGAAGAATTAACAGAAGAATGTTTAAAAGCAATGTGGGAAGATGAAAGACATGAACGAAATACAAATTCTATTGCTTGGTCCACTGCTACAAGCATGCCTGAGAATAATAGTGCTGAACTTTGTCAGCAACTTAGTAATCTAAAAATGCATGATGATCTTGCTAAGCAGGTATAATTTAATATTTAAATTTAATTACTATATCATATAAAAAATATCATATATATATTGAATATTCATAAATATAATAATACTGAATTTCAAATAAATAACTTGTTTTTAGAGTACATTGAATCCAAATGCAGCTGAATTTGTTCCAGCATTCAAATCAGCAGTAACATCTGTAAGTACACCACCAGAAGTTACTGCAGAATCATCATAGAAGCCATACTTTCATTTGCTTAACTGAATAAAACATAGGCTATACATATGGCTAATGTTTACTTCTCTCAGTAACACAGTTGTATTAACTGAATTATGTTAAAAGTTAAATAACTGTCCCTACACGTACAAAAGTATAATAATTATCAAAGCAGATAATACATAATGCTATTATATGATATTTATGACTAACAAAGTCAGTTGCATAACCATAAATTGAAAAAAATATATTCAAATTTTTATAGTCGTGAGATATTGCATAATATTATAAACATTTAATTTTACATATATATTTTTCCGTGATATAATGGACAATGACATATAAATCACTTGTTATAGAAATTTGCAATTTATATTCTCAATTTAATCAAAAAAAAAAAAAAAAAAAAAAATTGTTAAAAAAAAAAATTTTTGTGGGGGGGTTTTAAATTTGGAAAAGAAAAAAAACAAAAAAAAACCTTTTTTTAAAAATTTGCAATTTTTATTCTCAATTTAATCAAAAAAAAAAAAAAAAAAAAAATATTTTCAAAAGTAAATATCTTATATAATTTATTCTAAATTGAGATAACAAGCATACATAATATATATACGAATTTTTATGAGTTGCATTGTATACATATCTGTCAATGAATTTTTGCATACAAATGAACATACCCTTTTTTTTTTTAATTCTTTCTAAATGCTTCTTTTTTCAGATCTGAAAGTTTTTATATACTGTAGTGTGCGTTTCTAAATGAAACACTTTTCTAAGAGTTCCTTTTGTAACACTTATTTTGTACTGGTATATATCTTCTATATCATTGTGACATGAATTAATATTATATACTGAAGTCGTTAAGACTGATGTAAGTAAAATATATTGCACCCAATGCATATTTCATTTATAGAACAATACTTAATGCATCTAATTATACAAGAAAACAATTTTAATTTTTATTTTTATTATCAATTTTTTATTTAAAAAATTCTGGTCGTGTTATAATTCTGGTCCTCTATCAGCATATGTCTTGAAAGACTTGAAGATCTCAAGGGAAAGTCTTACAGGCTGTGAAGGACACTTTTTCTGACTCTATTTTGTACATTGAGAGCCAATGTACTACTTATTTACTTTAATTAAGTAATAAAATTATTATAAAATGATATTTTAAAACTGATTAGAGTATGTATATGAAATGTAATATTATTAAAAAATATAAGTGGTGAATGTATTTTGCATTATTAATCAAAATTGAAATAATAAAAGTATTAATATTTTCTCATTATCTTGATATATATTATAAAATTTTGTTAACGAAATTTAAAGTTTTTAGTAATGAAATTTTTAAAAAATAAAATTATATTTTAATAATCATTAATCATACATATTCGCCACTTATACTCTTTGAATAAACATATTTATGTACAAATTCTATTAACATTCTCTGCATTGTGATAGATACATACATGATTTTATAAAACCGCATGAATTAAATTTACATTACTTTAGCCACAATATACTTTAGTATGAATACAATAACTGTGATTATGAAGCAAATTAAATAGATTTATCATAGAATTATTCACAGTTAAAAAATCTTATTAATTTCTCTGTGCTTCTTATTATTTTGCTTTCAAATTTTGTTCACATATCTCTTCTATTTGTGACTCTTCATAAAAAAAATAAAAAATTTTAAAAATTATAAAAAAAAAAAGAGTAACATATTTAGTGTAAAATACATACATAATTACAAATATTTATAGATTTATTTGGAAGATTCAAATTGAGTGGTGCATTAATTTTATAAAACAATAACAATAAATTTAAATAATTTCTTTTATGTTTTAAATTTATCTTAGTATGAAAAAAAAGAGACTGTTTTTTTAGATTTAAGATAGTTTCTTTAACAAGATTTGATGTATATTTATTCTTATCATTTTTTAAAAATAATATCGATAAAATATATCAATTGAAAGCATTATTTAGTTTATATAATTTTACTTTTTGCAATAAAATCTTTAAGAAATGTAAGTATGAAGTATATCAATAATCGTATAAATATATATCTTGTAGTCATCAAATCTGTGTCAATTTAAATGACATGCAGTATTTATATCATATTATTAATATTTTTAGTAGCATGTCATATATATCAATAAAAAGCTGTATTTTAGCAGTAGAAAAATATAAAGAAATCATCTGGTTACAATGTAACCACTATACAATGTACCATTGCATAATACTTTGAGTTTTCCAAAATTTAAATGTCTCAAATTTAAATAATATCAAAAAATAAATATCACATTTTTTATGAATTATTTCAATAAGTATATTTCAATAGTACCTGTTTTTTTTGGCATGTAATGATAATTACTATTATTATTAGTAATAAGGTAATTAAGTTTTAACATATAAACAATTATAATTATTTCATATATTATGTACAATCAAAGATAATACTTTAAGAAATATAAAAATTCATTATTGCAATAACATAATTTAAATAATTTAAATGATCAACAAGCACAAATATTTTATTTTTATTCAATAAATGATATTTGATTGTGCAATATATATTTTTTCAGCTTCATATTGAGACAGAAAAAAGAAAAATTCAAAAGATTTTTAATGCAAAAAATACAGGTAAATAACTTTTTCCTGTAATAATAAACTTTTTTCTTTACAAATACTATATACATTAGAAAATAACGTATAGTGAATTAGGATAAAGATAATTATGTTGTTTAAGCGAGTGTGAATTATAATTATATCATTGCCATTAATCATTTGCATTTGCAATTTCCTGTATTGTATTATTTTTTCTGTAATATTTAGTATATAAATGAATCATATAAAATACAAATCTATGTATTTCTTCCCTTTCTTTTTTCCCCTTTCTTTTATAACAATTATATTTTTTTATATAGGATAATAATTTATTTTTAAATATAGTACATAAAAAATTCATAATAATAAAAAGATATTTGTTAAAAGCATCACCTTGTATTTGGCAGCATATCAGTAACTACAATTAAATCTTACAATTATTTTTATTTAAATTAGTATCAGTTTTACAATAGTAAAAAATTGATACCAATGCATATCTTATTAAAAGCTATGAAATTGTTTTATCTCATATTTTTTGCAAATGCTTTAATATATTTAAATGCAACATTCACTACAATAACTACACTAATATAAATGAAACAATATATATAATGTGAAGCAGAATTTTATATTGTTATTGTTTTATTGTTATTATCTATTTTATTTGTCACATATATAACATTATTTTCGTAGTTAATTAATAATTATCATGTAATGACAACTATAAAAAAAAAATTAAATTAATAAAATTTTTATATATTTTTTAAATAATTTTTTCAAATATTATCTTAAATATATGTCAACTTTAAATAGTAATATTAAATAAATTTTAATAAGAAAGAATATTTATTTCAATAAAAAAATTTATGAATCAATTATCAAAAAACTTTATAAAAATGTCTTTAATATAATACTTCATCCATTATACGAAGTATGAAATTGGTATCAGTTTTTTTACAATTATTTTTTACATACTACAACTAATATAAAATCATCATAAAGAAGAATTTTTTTAAAATATGTAGTTATATTTACTTATATACAATCATTAAATACTTTGATGTGCAGTCTCTTTATTCCAATGCAATACTGTCTTATTTATATTATTTTTTTGCAAATTTTATTAATATAAAGTAAAATTATTTTTTCACTAAATTATAAATATAATATTAAATAATAAAACATGCAATTTAATTAACTGAAATTCTATAGAAATATAAAATATATTAAAAATATATATGCAAAGCAAAAATAATAAAAATTAAAATTTTATATAAAATATAACTTGTTATTGAATGTATTTATACAAATGAATTCATATTGTATTTTATGTTTGAAATTACTTATTTGAAATTATTAATAGTTACCACTTGGAAGAATATTAATTAATATTAATATTTGTATTTTGTAATTGATTTTTTTTATAAAAGCATAACAAAGTATTTATCAATATTATTGTCAAAAAATTCATTACAATAAAAAACTGACCTTCGTGCAATATTTTAGCAAAAATTCAAGGCCTTTAATTATTATTAACATTACTTAAAATAACAGCCTTATACATATTTGTATTACAGACATTATTGCTAGATATGTATAAGAATGTGTGCTGATAAAATCATTAACTATAATAATCTAATAATCTGTAATAATAAAAAATACAAATAATCATTAATTTCAATTCAATAGTTTTTAATATTATAATAATAAAAAAATGAGGCCTCTAGTATAGTAAGCTGACTCATATATACATAATATATATATGCCGCTTACTTAAATAGTTTTAATGCTATTTAACAAAAATTTATTAAAAAATATTAATGTGAATAATTTACGCTTTATTTTTTTTATTTATAAATAATAATTTAAAAAATGAAATTTCTCTATTTAATTCATTTTAAAACTTCTATTATACAATTAAGTATTATAGAAGTATTCAATTTCATTTGCAAAGTATATATTTAATTATTATTGATATTTATGAATAGTATAAAATTGTAAACACAATATAAATAAATTATCATTTACTTAAATATATTTTTTAATAATTGAAATATAATATATAATCATAAATTATCAAATAATCAATTATCTTATTAGATTGTATATCACTCTTATATTCTATAAAAAATTGTTGACAATGTCTTTTGTTATTGAAATCTAAAATTTAGATATATCTTAAAAAAGAGGTAAATCTTGAGATCTAATTAAATATTTATTAAAAATTGACACGATCATATATTGTATTTTTTGTTTTTCAAACATTTATCAATTCATAATTATAAACAATATTACTTTTTTATGCAAGATATTTTATTTTCATATTTTATTTTCATATTTGTTATCTATCTTTCTTTATCACATTACAATTGCACACATAAAATTAATTCTTTTTTTTTATTTGTTCTATTTTACTTATTACTAGTAAACATTATAAATAATAAATTATTATATAATTATACATTAATAATATTTAAAATAAATGTATTAACATTTACTACAAAATATGAAGTTTTATTATTTTGATAATTTTAAGACATAAAAAAAAAAATAATTCTTTTGTCTAATATTTTAGCAATATAAATTTTATGTTTGAATATTCAATAGAAAATAAAATATCTTGCTCTTGTAATTTTTTAAAGGTGATGCTGTGTTAAATTTCATTTTTATTAAATTACTTACATGTAAAATTTTAAACGCTTTCTGTAGGACTCTGAAATTCAGATAATGCGTGTATCGGATTTTGCACTTTTTTCTGTGAACCTTTACGTACTTTTGCTCTAACTTCTTCTGGTCTTTCAGGACGTACCAATGGTTTCTTTTCTGGTGCTTTCATTTTCCATACAACAATTGGTGACTGTACATTAAAAATAAATTAATAAAAAATTTATAATGCAGATAATAATTGTAATTTCTTAAATATTATTGAATTAATATAATTATAAATATATTTTTATTATATAAATACTTACATACTACAAAATCCAATTGTTAGTGTAAAAAAATTTTAATATTAATTATTATATATAAATTATAAATTTAAATAATTTATTTAAAATATAAAATATAAAATTAGAATAAATAATATTAAATGAAAAAACTTACAGTTACTGTAGATTGTCGAGGATACTTGGTTGATGCAACATATGAAGCTTTAACAGTAAGTACAACTGCATTCATTAAATTTTTAGCAGCCTGAATAAGAGAAGTTGCACTGTCAAGTCCAGATACAATTAATTCTCCACTAATATTTTGTACATCTGCTTTAACTTTACTTGTAATATTCATTTGATGACAATATAATGCTATACGTTGTAGATAAGCCAAAAGATCTTTTTTAGTAGAACTTTCTGGACATTGATCTGCTATTTGTCTTGTTAACTTATCTAATTTAGTTCCAGCTTCAGAAATTTTTTTTGCTGCATTAATAACATCCATAGTTGTCTTTAAAGGTCCGCGACCTCTAGTGAAATCTGTCATTTCCATCATAATCATACACATATGCTTTGCAAGTACAATAATATCATTTCCTGCATCATCCCATTTGGCAACTTCTTTATCAAACTTTAGTTTCTCACTTTTGAAGTATTCTACCTGTTGTAAGATTTTTTGTTTATCTTCTTCTGGCATTTTACGCATAGCTTCACGAGCAGTAGTAATACCACTTATTTCTGGATATTCATCAACACCATGTTCACCAGTTTGTGCACTCGATTTACTACGAGTTTCTAATGTATAATGTTCATCAAGTTCAACATCTTCTGGATCTAAATCTTCATCCGCCTAAAATATAGCAGATATAAATAAAAAAATATATCTAGAAAAAAATATAAACTTTTAGTGCAGTTTCTTACTCTGTTCATCAATACAGCACGCCTAATTTCACGAACACCATCGTAAACTAATCTTGAAGCATCTATAAAATCATTTTCATCCACATCTTTAGCTGGATTACTACCCAATGCATCTACTGCCACTTCTACTCTCTGCGCAAATTTCGGCATCACTTGTTCTCTTAGAACTTTCACAGCTTCTAAAACTCGTTTTGTATAGATACAAGGCTCATAATTATCCATTTCTGCTTGAACAACATTACACACTCTGGCAGATCGTCCACGAATCGCACCAGCGGTTCTATCTAAAGTATCAGCATCACATTCTTGTAATGCCAATACACATTTATTTACATCTTCTAAGATATGATTCTCAGATACAGCTAAGAAATCATCAATAGTAGTAATATCATCAACAGCTTCAGTTAATACTCTTACTTGATTTTCCCATGCTTGTCGGAATACTTCCATATTATCTAAAGCTACTTTAGATCGATTACGAGCTGCAAGCACACGTGCTGCATTGATTACTTGTGGACATAAATTTCCAATTTGTGCTGCCGCATAACGGACCATTTTTACACCATCTTCGTTTCCTGACATACTACACACTAAATTGGCAACCTAAATAAATAGTCAGTACTAAATTAGTATTATTAATTATAATTATAATATTAATAATAATAATAATTATAATATTAATTAAAATTAATATTGCAATATAGTTCAATAATATACCTCAACTAGTTTATTAGCATGTTCCGTAAAAACTAATGCATATTCTTCTACTTCCTTATCACGACCATTTCTTGCAGCTTCAATGAGAACCAATAAAGGTACGCTTGTTTCTAAAAAACTATCAGACACATGATCTACTACAGCTTTTCGTAATTGTCTACGAAGATCCCGAGTTTTTCTACACATATGATCAATTGCTCTTTCTAAGCCTTCTGACTGTTCTTTGACGCCCATCTATTAAAACATATATATCATTAATAGAATCAAAATATGATTAAAATATAAATAAATAAATATCTTATCAGCATTCAAATAAAATCTAAACTATTTTTTACTAAGAACATTGGAGTGCAAAATAAAATCTTTTTTTATCAATGCTTAAAAAAAAAATTAATTAAAAAAAATTTTAATTTTTATTATTTAAAAAATGCTCTACTTTTTTAAATATTTAATATATATTTTATAAATTAACATATTAATTATAACATAACATAACTACTTATTTTAATGAGTATAAATTTTTTTTAAATTATTTATATGAATAAATATAAATAATATAACATAATATGATGTGAAAAAAAGAATAATTATAAGAAATACTTTACAAAATTTATAATAAATTTAAAGTAAATTTTATATTTATTTCTTTTTAAATTAAGTTTAGAATATGCATTTTTTTCTATTTATCTATGCTATTAATTTTTTTAATTTTTGTATATTTCTAATTATATCATATTTGGTATTGTAATATTTTTTTATATCATATATATATGCATTTTATACTATATAGTATATGCAATTGTGCAATTTAAAGAATAATTGTAAAATCATAGATGTAAAATTATAATAATTATTTGATTAGTGCTTGTCATTAAATAATATATAAATTATGTGTAAAATCAATACAATATCTTTATATATTTACCCGTTTCCCACCCCGAGCAAGCTGTAACTGTAGTCATCAAAAATAAAAACAAATGAGTAAAATGAACATGCCAAGAATAAATCAATCATTATGTTAAATAATAATATAATTATTTATGTGTTCTAAATATATATTGTTTGTAGACATATATATTTTTATATGCATATACTTATATCATACAGTAACATAATATATATTTAAAAATGCTATAAATGTTAGTATGAAATATAAATCAAAATAAATTATAAAAAATAAATACAATAGATATTTCTTATGCAATTATTAATGCAATTATTGAAACTTATTTAAATAAATTGTTATATATATAAATAAATTATACAGCAAGTGTTTAAATAAAAAAAACAAAAAAATTCATAAAATACTTACATTATTCATATATTCACTTAATAAATCTTGAAGTGCTTGCCTAACTGCATTACATTCTGCAACAATGCGTTCTCTACGTTCATCTCGAGTGCATGAAGAATCTGCCATTAATGCAGCACCACTGATGATACTTTCCAATCTTTCCTCAAGACTGGGTCTTGTACGTACTTCATTGTATGCAAGTGGAGACATTACCATTCTTTCATCAAAATCATCTAATGCAGCAGCTAATTCTCCAGGTCCTTCATAAGGATGTTGAGTATCAATTGGAGTTTTTCCTTGTGCTACATCATTAATGGTATTTACAGCTTCACAGACTTGTTTCAAAACATAATCACGATTTGCTTTTGCTGCAGCTAATTCAGGATGTCGAACATAAACTTTGGAGGCTGTTAGAAGCATAGTAGAGTGTTTTTTAAGAACAGCTCTTGCTGCAGCCAAATCATCTCTTAATTGAGGATCTTTTAATTCTTGTTGACGTTTTGCAGCTTGATTCATAAGTTCTGATGCATTTCTTCCAAATTGTTTTATATTTTCTAATAACTCTCCCTGTGAGGATGCATTCTTTAATTTTTTTAAATCATCTTCTACTACATGCAATGATTTCAACAACAAATGCACATCAACCATATCTGCTAAAATAAGCAAACGTGTTACTGCAGATAATAAATTTCTTGCAGCACGAACCATATTGCCTCTTTTTAAAGAAGAACAAGGATCTTCTGAAAACTCTCTGAAATTAATTAATAGAAATAATACTAATCTTTATATATATAAAGTTCCTTATATATTAGAAATTTTTTATATAGAACAAACCTAGCAGCAATGCTCATTGCAGCACCTGTTTTTCTTACTTCTTCAACAGCACTTAACATTTCTGCAGTAATGTCAGGATTTTCATACGCTATTTGTTCACCTTTTTCAATAAAATTATTGGTTGCTTTTTCGACAGTTCCAACTAAAGCACTAGCTCTTTTTGATTTTCCTTTCTTTTTTTTACTAGGACCTTTTGTATTTACAAGTGTAGTGACTTGTAAAACTAAGGGTTCCAATGTTTTTTCTACAGACATAGTACGGATTTCTAAATTTTTAGGATCCCATTTTAAAGTTATTGGGCCAAAGTGATCTGACATTTTTGTTATTTTAAATAAATGAATTCTAAAAATTAAAATAATATAAAATATAAAAATATTATATTTATTTATTTTAATATAATAAAAAAATTACCTGTTCTTTTAAATATATATGGTACAGATAATTTAATATATTAATATAAATTAAATAGAAAAACTTAAATATAGTAGTTTATTTTTTTTTTATTAATTATTTTTTTATATTTCTTTATTATTTTTATATTTATAAAATTTATTAAAATCATATATTACGTATAATTTTTGAATCAAAGATTTTTTAAATTTGAAATTAGTATTTTTTATTTTATTCATCAATTATAATATAATTAAAAATATAGAAATCAAACGAATTTACAAATTTTTGATGTTTTAAGATAAAATTTAACCAAATACAATATCATAATAATAATAAATACAATATTATAATAATAATAATAACAAAATAAATATATAATAATTTTTCTATTATAAATTAATATATAAATTATATATAAATGTCATGTTTTTCACTTACCTATTATAAAAAAGGAAAGACTAAATGATATAACGTTGATAACAAGATATGAGAATGTTTGAAAAAGTCAGGGTGCGTCAGAATGATCAGTCTGATCACAAAAAAATGTTCACATTGGCATACGGAAAATATCAAAGCCTACTTTAGATACAAGCCATAGTGAATAACGTGGCAACAGCGCTTTTGCAAACAGAGCAATGAAAATGATATGGTAGATAAATTATAATTAATATTTTTGTAAAAAAATTAATCAAATATTCATATAATTTTTACTAATCTTATATAGATATTATAATTATAATATATGTATAAATAAAAATAATATAATTTTCAAAATAATAAAATAACATTTAAATCTTTAGAAAATTCAATGTGTAATGTATATTTTTATTTAAAATATAAGATATTTTATTTAAATATAAATGTAAAAACAAATTTAAATCATTTTTGAGCAAAACTGCAAATTTCTAAATTGAATAAAAAAAATATAAACTTATAAAAAAAACAGAACTTCTAAAATTAAACGAAAGAGGTTATGTAAACATGTAATGAAAATAAGTGACAAAAATAATTGACAAGAAAAATTATTACAAAAATAACATTTTATATATATATATAA